CTCTCTGTCATGAGGATATGGATTGAGCTCTCACACCAGAAACCTGAACGCAATCTAAATAGGTGCTTCTCTGCAGTACTGAGGGACTGCCACACTTTTAGAGGCGCAGTCTACAAGATGAGACATTAAACCGCAATCCTATCTGCCCTCTCAGGTTGGCATAATGACCAATTAACGGTACTACTTAACAGAGGAACAAGAGTGTTCTCCACAGTGCCCTGATCAATAATTACCCCTCAACCAACATGACCATAAAGCAGATATTCTGGTCATTATCACATTGCTATTTGTGGGGGCTTGCTATCTATAAACTGGTTGCCACATTTCCTCCATTTTAACAGTGACTTCACTACAAAAGGTACTTCACCGCCTGGGATTCACTTTGGGATGTGCAGGGGTAGAATCATAGAATCGCTACAGTTTGAACACAGGCCATTTGGCCCATCGAGTCCACATCAACCCTCCGAAGACCATCCCACCCAGATCCAGTCCCCCTATCCTATCCCTATAACCCTGCATTTCCCATGGCTCACCTACCTAACCTACACATCCCTGAACACTATGGGCAATTTAGAGTGGCCAATCCACGTAGCCTGCACACCTTTGGACTGTGGGAGGAAACTGGAGCACCCAGAGGAATCCCACACAGACACGGGGAGAATGTGCAAACTCCACACAGACAATTGCCTGAAGGTGGAACCAAATTCAGGTCCCTGGCGCTGTGAGGCAGAAGTGTTAACCACTGAGCAACCATTCTGCCCCAAAACATAGAATCCCTATAGAGTGGGAGCAGGCCATTTGGCCCATTCTGACCCTCTGAAGAGCATCCCACCCAGACCCACCACCCTATCTTATAAGCCTACATTTCCTTACACACTACAGGTCAATTTAGCATGGCCAATCCACCTAACATGCACATCTTTGGACTGTAGGAGGAAACCAGAGCACCTGGAGGTAACCCACACAGACACAGGCAGAATGTGCAAACTCCACACAGACAGTCACCTGAGGGTGGAATTGAACCCAGGTCCCTGGTACTCTGAGGCAGCAGTGTTAACCACTGTGCCACCCTAAGCTTATGAAGTCTAATAATGAAAAGCACTATACAAATGCAAGTTCACTCTTTCTTTACCAGATAACTCCAGCATCTTTGGAGCCACAGGGCAGTAGGTGTCAGCTTCTTCAGGAGAGGAAGGAGGGGTATAGTGAGCAGGGAGTTTGGAGAATGAACAAACAGTGATATGGTTACCTCTAATTGCACTCCTTAAGGCAGTCTTCCCAAGGCTAATGGCAATAGTTGGATAACAGCTTATTATGTTTCAGCTAAAGCCAGTAATTCAATCTTGCGGCTTCTAATGGCAGACGTGCTAAACGTGAAAGGTTCGAGATATGCTCAGAGCAGCTCAATTGAATTCCTCCAGAAGAGTATCTGCTGGATATGTCTTATATTCATTCAAACAATCAAAGATGGCTGAGGAAAATAGACAGGGGTGGGGGAGGGAATGGGTGTGGGACCATACGGGGTGCAACAAGCAGGCAGAGCCAGGTAAGGGCTGTCTTTCACCAGTGGCCTCCAATTCTGCAAAAGTTCGCAGAATCCCTACAGTGTGAAAATGGGCCCTTCAGCCCAACAAGTCCACACCAACCCTCAGAGCATCCCACCCAGACCTATTCCCCCTATAACCCACCTAATCTACACATCCCTGAACACTATGGGCAATCTAGCATGGCCAATCCACCTAACCTGCACATCTTTGGACTGTGGGAGGAAACTGGAGCACCCGGAGGGAACCCACACAGACACGGGGAGAATGTGCAAACTCCACACAGACAGTCACCCGAGGGTGGGATCAAACCCAGGTCCCTGGTACTGTGAGGCTGCAGTGCTAACCACTGTGCCACTGTGCCGCCTTATGAAAGTGCTGTGTGAAATATTAACCTCTTTTCCAACTCCTGCTGCTGACTGACTTGCTGTGTACTTGCAGAATTTTTGGCTTTTTGTTTAATTCTCCTGTTCCGGTTTGGCTCCTTCGCGCTGTTCTGTAAGAGCAGCAATCCTCTCAAGACTCTGATGAAACATAGCTGTCATAAAATTGATGCTGTGCCTCATAAATTCAGGATATTTGAGTGGAATATGGCTGCAGTGTCTACAGCCAACACTTCACAACAGACAGAGCGAAGTCTATTGTAACCGTCATAACTCAACCACCAAAACAAAGCACAACAAGTTGTGTAAATCTGAAAGAAAAGCAGAAAATGCTGAAAATACTCCACAGATGTGCCGGCCTCTGTGGACAGAGATAACTAGGTCTGTGGCCTTTCTTCAGAGGGTTCTGAATACTGTCAGAGCTGCCAAGTGTAGGAAAATGATCTGATAACATTACGCAGATGTCACACTGAGCTGAAAGATGGTGATCACAACCTGCTTTACAGAATTTACCGCCACTAACCTCTCTCACACACATTGGCAAAGAGGGAGGTAAAAACATCGCAAAACGGTTGCGTTTTTCAAAACAAAAACATGAGGCAGGCTAAAATGAAGTCTGCAAATATTATCATCAAAATTTACAAATAACAAACTCATTCGTGCTCTCTCACTAATGGTTCCACTGTCTACAGCTGATGGCCCCTGCAGTACCTGACTCCACGTTAGAACATGCCCATTCACTGAGTGCTGGAGGGCCTAAAACTGGGAAACAGGGGACACAAGAGGGAGTGGTCTGGGTGGATTCTCGACTCTCCCCAGCCCTTGAGTTGCTGCTGATGATGAAACTCCCCTTGGTAGTTGTGGCCATGGTGGAGCAGCATTTGGGACATCTACACAAATGAAACCTGTCAGTACTTGCCCTGATTGCTGCTGTGCTTTAAAGGTGCAATTGGTCACAGATTCAGACAAAGGACACTTGGTGAGTTGCTGCAGTCTCTCACAAATGGTACTGTGACCTGAGTGAATGTGGTATCAATCAAGCAAATTAGAACCCTCACAGTGTGGAAACAGGCCATCAAGTCCACACTGTCCCATGCCATTCCTGGAACCCTGCATTTCTCATGGTTAATCCACCTAGCCTGTACATCCCTGGACACTGTGGGCAACTTAGCATGGCCAACCCACCTAACCTGCACCACTTCAGACTGTGGGAGGAAACCAGATCACCTACAGGAAACCCACGCAGACACAGGGAGGATGTGCAAACTCCACACAGACCGTCACCCTGGAATTGAACCCAGGTCCCTGGCGCTGTGAGGCAGCAGTGCTGACCATTAAGCCACCGTTCCATTGCTTGGGATGGCACTGAGCTTTTTTGACTGTTGTCAGATGCACTCATCCAGACAAGTGCAGAGTATTCCTCACATTCCTCGTGTATGGTTTGTAGATGTGAACAGGCTTTGGTTTATATTTAGATTAACAGACAAAAACTTAAAACTGTCACATTACAGCACAGAATTTGCCTTCAACTGCAGCAAACAACAAGACAGGAGCTGGGCTTAATTCCCAGCATTCATCTTAGTCTCTGGTTTTGTCCCCAACTAAACGATATCCCTGAGTCTTAGCCTCACCAGTCTGAGAGTTGCTCCTGACGAAGGCAATTATAGTCAACTATTTTATAAAACTACACCACCTTGCCTTAGCCATTTTAACATTTTATGTACATCCCATGTTACAGATATAGAGCTTGTAAAAGCCTCTGACTCACATATTATCCCTCTCTCAGTTTGTTATCGTATATTACTTTGTATATAATTTGCATTAACAGCAGCCTTAAGTTAGAGGATTTCTGAATGTTATTCAACAGCACCAGAGTTGAAACTGGGACTGTGCTTAGGAAAGCAGAAGATGTGTGAATTTTTCAGGTCTTCACAGTCAAATTAGAATTTCCCCAAGTGTACAGGAGTCCCCAACAGGTCACCAGAAGAGGAAAAACATTCCACCCATCTTAATTCCAGGACGACATTGCACTCTGTCCAATACTGTACATGAATCCAGAGATTTCATTACCACAACTACTCAGTCTGAAGTCCATTCCAAACCAAATAATCATTCTCTGTATGAATAGTCTCCTGGTCTCAATCCTAAAATTACCAGTCTCTGGTGTGAATCTCAATCACATTTAGGCCAGAGCAGGTAAGGACGACCAGATTTCCTTTCCTAACAGAAACTAGTGAACCAAATAGGTCTTTAAATAGTTCTTAATTTTAAAATAAAAAAAGTATGGAATCTAGGCTTTGTTCTCTTAGAGGCATAGTGTCATTGAATTGTACGGCATGGGAACAGACCCTTCAGTCCAACTCATCCATGCCGACCAGATATCCTAAATTAATCTAGTCCCATTTTTCAGCATTTGGCCCACATCCCTCTAAACCCTTCCTATTCATGTACCTTTTAAATGTTATAATTGTACCAGCCTCCACCATTTCCTTATTCTATATGTGCACCATCCTTTATGTGAAAAAGTTGCCCTTTTAAATCTTTCCCCTCTCACCTTAAACCTATGCCCTCTAGTTTTGGTCTCCCCTACTCAGGGAAAAAGACCTTGGCTATTCACCCCATCTATGTGGTCAGCATTTTTTTTTGTCACCTTTATTAGCTTATTCTTCTATATTTATTTGTAAGCTGAATTTAAATCCTCCAGTCGCCTTGATGAGACTTGAACTTGTATCTCCAGATTGATGGTCATTGACCTAGTAATGTAAACACAATGCTACTGTTTGAAAGTACAACTCTGCAATATACTGGGACAGTGTCAGAAGTCTTTAGCTTGCTGCCTGAACCAGACAACTGGATACAGAGTTGGCAGTGATCTAGAATGAAAGTCTTCTGCAAAGGGTGAGAATTTCCCTTCTAATTAAAGCACTGAAGGTCTTAGAGAATTTTTAATCACACCAGTACTAGTGTATTAATAGGTCGGCACAACATCGTGGGCCGAAGGGCCTGTACTGCACTGTACTGTTCTATGTTCCATTCACCAAGCAACAGTGACCATGGCAACCTTGCTCCTTACCAGTAACAAGACTTGTCTCGGCTCTCATAGTCAGTGAAGTCAGAGCTGATGAAGATATCTTTGTATATGCGCCCACACAGGCAGTAAAGATCAGATGAGATCTGCTTCCCAGTCTCCACCACCGGCAGGATCACGGACAGTGCTCTCTCCCGATCTCCAGGTTGGTTCCTCCTGTAGGAAAGATATCTCCACAGTCAGAGAAGATTGACCAATAAAGGCAGGGCTTAATGTCACCCTACATGCTTTATCTTCAGATCTTGCACAGGAAGAGGCTGTTTGGCCCACTGATTCTGTGATGGCCCTTTGAAAAAAAATGTCTTAGTCCCCCTGTGACTGATCCTCCTGCCAAAGGGAACGGTTTCTTGGTAATGCTTCAGGAATGTGAGATTTTAGTAACAGAGCTAGGATGGAGAAGTTGGCTTTGTTCTCTTTGGACAAAGAACTTTGAGGGGAGATCTGCAGGACATGGACAAAATAATGATTAGCTGGGTGAAATAAATAAAAATCTGTTGTTAGTTGATAACACAAGAGCAGATTTGGGCAAGAGATCCATGGGAGATGTGAGGAATAGTTTTCTTTTTATACACAGCAAGTGGCAAAGTTTTGTAACTCACTACTTACAAAGGTAATGAAGACAGAGACAGTAATTGCAAAGGAATTGATGTTTACTCAAGGGAAGTACAATTATAGGGCTATCAGCATCGAGCAGGAGAATAGAACAGCCTAGAGCCAGTATTAATGTGATGGACTGAATGGTCATGATGACCCTATGACTACATCGTTACTTGGAACACTGCTACCAAATTTCTTTAACTTTATGGAGAATAATGTCAGCTTCTCTGATCTCTCCGCTTGGCTCTTCCCTCACAGCAGCATGTACCTCGGAAGAGCCCAAGTAAAGCCAGGTAGGGTGTTAAATATTATTGGGTACAAAATGTTTCGGAAAGACAAAGAAACGGGGGGAGGTAGAGATATTAATTAAGGAGATATTTCACTGCTGACAATAAAGGGTGTTCCATAGGTGTAAAGGACACAATCAATTTGGCTCATATTGAGGAACAAAAAGTGTGCGATTACATTGCACAGTGTAGTCTACAGGCCAGCAACTAGTGGGAAAGATATCAAGGATCAAACCGGCAAGGAAATTACAGAGGTGTAAGAATGATCAAGTCATTATAACTTGCATTTTCCCGAGACAGACTAGCATAGCAGTAGTGTATAGGACAGAGAGGGGGACGATTTCCTAGAGAAGGTTCAGAAATATTTCTTACAGCAGTACTTTAAAAATCCATTGAGGAAGAAAGAACAAATAGACTTGGTTCTTGGAAATGAGGTCGGTCAAGTAGATCAAGTTTCAATGAAGAACATTTCGGGTACAGTGGTCACTTTGCTGTAAGGTTTAAGCTGTTTATGGAAAAGGACATTGAACAGTCCAGAGTAAGAATAATTAATTGGGGGAAAGTCAGCTTGTAGTGACTGGAACAAGGTCAGCCAGGTGGACCTCATAGAGTATGAGTTCCCAGATTGGGGTTGTTAATCTGGTCCAATCAGGGAGCCCTGGCTGACAGATATAAACAGGAGTGTCAGGGGTTCTGCTCACTCTAGGAGCCAGCTCTTAGCTACTCAGGTCCTTTTGTTTTTAGCATGATTCAAGCTCTGTACAATATAGCTAAATGAATATTAGACCAAGTTACCTTTCTACCTTCTTAAATCCTTCATAGTTTTAAAATCCTCTATCACATATCTCAAACTTCCTTGATTTAAATAGTTCTAGTATCTCGCTTATCTCCTTATAACTGCAAACTCACTATCTGCAATGAGTTTGATGAACCTACACTCCATGGCTTTGACATAGGCCCATGTTTTGGAGCCAACAAACTACCCAAGGGCTCTAGCTTCAGCAGTGTTTTGTTCGAAGTGAGGAAGTCATATCCATTTCCCAGAGCCAAGCCTTTCCAATCCTTCAATCTACTATGTTATAATTCAGTAACTTCTTCACTTTTCACATGAACAACCACAAAGCAAGTGAGAACAAGTTATATCTAGCAGCAAGTCACACCCAGGAATTTTATATCTGATTTGGAACTAACCTTGCAATTATTTGAACAAGTAGAAATTCCCAAGGATGTTAACATTTGAATATTTTTGAAATCTGGCTGCTTGTCAAGACACAATTGGTCTACTGCAATCAACTAAACAGAACAGGGAAACAATTCCAAGACTATTCAAATATGAATTTTTCTCTTTTTCTCTCCTCTTCGCCCTCTCTTTCCAATTATGGCTCGCTCACTCCCCATTCTGCCTCTTTCCCCAATCTTTCCTTCTTGTCCTCCCGTTCCCACTCCGTCCCTCTCAGTCTGTCTCCCTGTCTCTCTTCCCTTCTCATTGCCCCTCCCTCAGCAGCGAGGATCTCTCTGTTAATCCTATTCATCCTTTTTTTTCTTACTGGTAAATACCCTCGATTTCTCTCTTCTTTTATGTCTGTCTTGCTGCTGATTTGTCACACCCTCCTTTTGTCTTGTCAGACCACCTACATGTTTCATTATATCCAAGAACTCTCTAGGAGTAGCAGTGCTACAACAGGAAAGATTGGAAGCGTTGAAAAAGATGCAGAGGAGATTTACCAGGATGTTGGCTGCAATGGAGGGAAGGTCTTACATGGAAAGGTTGAGAAAGCTAGGGCTTTTCTCTTTAGAACGATGAAGGATGAGAGGTGACTTGATAGAGGTGTACAAAATGATCAGAGATATAGATAGAGTGGACAGCCAGAGACTTTTTCCTAGGGTGGAGGTAGCTATTACGAGGGGACATAGTTTTAAAGTGAGTGGAGGTAGATATAGGGGAGACATCGGAGGTAGTATCTTTACTCAGAGAGTGGTCAGGACATGGAATGCATTGCCGGAGAGGGTAGTGGAGTCGGCCTCATTAGGGGCATTTAAACGGCTATTAGATAGGCATATGAATGATAGTACAAGGTAGGGGTGGGGGTTAGATAGACCTTAGGATTAGGGTAAAAGTTCGGCACAACATCGTGGGCCGAAGGGCCTGTACTGTGCTGTACCGTTCTATGTTCTAATAATTCAGGGACTTTGGTACTGGAACACTGGAATGACTGTGTTTGTCTGTGTTCTGATGATGCTGCTAAAGATCCACATTCCAAGACAGTTATTGATTGATTTTGACAACAGGGATGAGAGCTCCTAGCCCTTGATATACTGAAGGATTCAGCCCCTCTATTTGATGATGATTGAAAGAATCCTCAGAATCACTCAATTTGGCCTCTTCCTTCTCTAGAAATGTAGTCTTGGAGAGACTTGTGAAAATATCCTATAAAGTGAGGACTTGGGAATGTTAATCAGAGGCTAAATTACCTCCAGTACAATAATTTTTAATCCGAAGTATATGCCAAGAAGCATCACTTTTATATTCAACAATGACCTACAGAGATAATAATGTCAAGAATGAAATGGTATTTGTAAAGCATATTCACAATGTGTCACCATCCCAAAATGTTTTCCAGCCAATGATGTACTTTTGAAGCATTGTAATGTCGAAAATACAGCAACCAATTTACACACAGCAAAATCCCTCAAAAGGGGCAGAACATTCCAAGCAATCAGATAATGCATTGAACACAAAAAGTTGGAGGCTGAGGGGTGACCTTATTGAGGTTTATAAAATCATGAAGAGCATGGATAGGGTGAATAGCCAAGGTCTTTTCCCAGGGTGGGGGAGTTCAAAACTAGAGGGCATAGATTTAGGGTGAGACAGGAAAGATTTAAAAGGGACCTAAGGGGCAATTTTTCACACAGAGGGTGGTGTGTTTATGGAATGAGCTGCCAGAGGAAGTGGTGGGGGATGGTACAGTTACAACATTTAAAAAGCATCTGGATGGATTCATGATTAGGGAGGGTTTAGAAGGATATGGGCCAAATGCTGGCAAGTGGGACTAGGTTAATTTAGGATATCTGGTTGGCATGGGTGAGTTGGGCCAAAGGGTCTGTTTCCATGCTGTACATCTCTATGACTCTATGCTAAACCTCTACTGCTGGTAAATCACAGAATCGTAAAGCACAGGTGGAGACAACTTAACTCATCGTACCTGTGACAGATATTTGAAAGTGGTTCCTAATTCATTGAACGTTCCAGCTCTTTACCCGTGGACTTTCAACCCTTCCACTCCAAGTCTGCAGCCAATTCTCTTTTTAGAAGTTACCGATTAAACTCTCTTTCGGTACCTCCACTGATGACCTGCTGCATAAACCATCAGCGATAATGCACCAGAACTGGTAAGTATTGGTAAGTATTGGTAAGAGTGCAAAGGAGGTTAATGAGAACGGTTGAAGGGATGAGGTGCTTCAGTTATGAGGAACGATTAAAAACATTGGCCAGTTTACTTTGCAGCTGAGAAGGTGAAGAGGAGATTGTATAGATGTTTTCAAAATCAAAAGGGTTCAGGACAGAGTAGACAGGAAAAAAATGTTCCCACTCATAAACAGATCAAGGATCAGAGGTTACAGTTTTAAAATGCTTTGCAAAAGAAGCAAATCTGAGGTGAGAGACAACCAGCGAATAGTCAGGATCTGGAATGCACTGCCTGGAATTGTGGTGGAGACAATTTCTGTTGAGAATTCAGGAGGGCTTTGGATGATTATTTAGATAGAAACAATGTGCAGGGTTAAGGGGAAAGGGTAGGAGGTTGGCACCATGCTCACAGGCCAGTGCAGGCACAATGGGCCGAATGGCCTGCTTCCGCATCATCATAATTCTGTGATTTTGTGAGATAACACTGATTTTAATGGAAAGGGATGACGGATAGCATTTTTTGGCTTTATCCTTTCATGGGCCAGTATTTGTTAGTCACCCAGAATTGTATTTGAATGGAAAGGTTTGCTGGGCCATTTCAGGCGACAGTTAAGAATCAACTGTGTTGCTGTGGGTCTAGACTCACATATAGGCCAGACCGGGTAAGGATAGCAGATTTCCTTCCCTAAACACATTAGTGAACCAGATAGATTTTTGCAATAATCAACAACGATTTTGTGGTCACTATTAACGTAAATATGAATTCCACCAGCTGCCATGGTGAGATGTGAACCCATGCCCCTATAGCCTTCGCCTAGGCCTCTGGTTTTTTTGGTCTAGCAACATGACCATTACACCACTTCCCATCCTCATACTATTCCTGGATTGGATCCTGCAAGTCACAGGCTGGTGCTTCTTTCCAATACACTTCACAATAGGTCATTGGTGAATCTGGGAGTGCAGGCCTCCAACGTTTGAGCAGCTGAGAGAGTTTCCCAATAATCCTCAAATTCCAGGGAAATGCTCCTACCTTTTACCTCAGAAAATCACTTCCTTGTTCAGATCTTCCATGGGACTGATGTGAAAGAGTAAAGCTTTAGGAGCTTAAGATGCTCATTTAGCACCTTGAGCCTGCTCCACTTTCAATAAGACCATGGCTGGTCTTCCAGCTCAACTCCACCTTATGGAGCTCTTCTTCTCTTATCACTTAATTCCTATGCAAATATCCTCAATCTTGACTCTACTCAATGACTAAGCATCCACAGTTCTCAAAGGTTGGGAAATCCAAAACTTTGTTGCCCCAGAGCAAGGAAATTTCTCCTCATCTCAGTTCTAAGTGGCCGTCACTTATTTTCTGACAGTCTCCCTTTCACTAGATTCCCTAACCAAGGAAATATTTCTCCATGTCTACTCAGTCAACCACGTTAAGAATTTTATTTGTTCGCTAATGAGATCACTTCTTATTCTTCTAACTTCCAGGCTGATGACTCAATCTCTCCTCTTCAGGCAACCCTGCAGGCCAGAAATCAGTCCAGAGAACCTTCACGGCATTTCCTCAAGATGTCCTTCAGTCAGGAGACCCAAACTGCAGACTGCACTCCAGGTGGGACCTGACTAATGCCCTGTATTACTGTAGCAAGATGTCCTTACTCCAAGAGATAGTAAGAACTGCAGATGCTGGAGTCAGAGATAACACAGTGTGGAGATGGAGGAACACAGCAGGCCAGGCAGCATCAGAGGAGCAGGAAAGGTGATGTTTCGGGTCGGGACCCTTCTTCAGAAACCTTACTCCAACAGCCTTGTAACAGGAGGTAGAACTCCACTGATCTTCCTAACTGGCTGCTGTACTTGAATATTAATTCTCTTTGAAAGGGCTCCCAGTTTTCTCTGAATGTAAACAAAGGAATGGGGCAATCTTATTGGCTTTACAAGCATTTTTGGAGCCTAGATGCAGTTGTAAATTAGAAAAATGTGGCAAGGACCCGCGAAGTGATGATGACCAGCTCACTTCATTGATGCTGGATTACAGATATATATCGACCAGGACAGCAGGGAGAACTCCCGAACTCTGTATCAGAATGGGAGCCCAAGACCTTTGGCAAATACCCAAGGGGGCAGAAACATTAAGGTCTCATCAGTGAAATAATTCCTCGTAATTATGTATTGTATTGAAGTTTGAACCTGAAATCTTCTAATGCGAAGGGGAGGGCTGAACACTGAGCCCTAAAATATAGCTGTAACTTAAGACAAAGATGTCCACATCCCCTCACCATTCATCCAGCCCTCTCCTTGGAGATTAAAAGAGGGTGCGAATGATATTCGGAGCAGGCTATCATGTGGAACTACCCATGAGGAAATGTAAACACAAGGCTGTTCCATCACTGAGTGTGGAAGGGGAAGTGATGATGAGTGCATCTTGATGTGACACCTACCTGTTTAATGCAAAACAGTAATGAAACTTAATATTCGGGAGTTCTGCCACATTGCACGTTGGCAGCTTCTGCAGGGTTTCCACCAGCTTGATAGTTGCATTGAGATCCTTTGAAATGAAAATAGCACAGAGTTAAAATTCCTCAAATAGTGTTACTCAGCAAGGGTTAGTTATCATTGCCTCTCACTGGCACTGGTATTAACTTGTGGTAAAAATCACTTTCATGATTTCACACCCAGTTAGTGTGCCACTATTCAAGAATTATTGAATGAGAGTGTGCTCTGAGTTTTGTTCTCTTACCCTCCTTAACCCACAATGTTCCCTTCCTCTCAGTAATTGGGAGTCATGATGTGGAGGTGCCGGTTTCGGACTGAGGTGGACAAGGTCAGAAATCACACGGCACCAGGTTATAATCCAACAAGTTTATTTGAAATCACAAGCTTTCGAAGCGCTGCTCCTTCTATACCTGACGATTGTGATTTCAAATAAACCTGTTGGACTATAACCTGGTGTCGTGTGATTTCTGACCTAATAACTGGGAATACCGGCTTTACAAATAGAGGCATAGAGTACTCAGGTTAGGTCTCAGTTAGAGTTTGATTCTGGGTACCTGTTAAAATCCCAGCTGATACTGAAACTGGACAGGTCAGATCCCAAAGTGAAACCTGATTTGATAGACAACTTGTTTTATTTTTGCTATCCATTTACCTTGTTGATCATATTCACAAAAGGCTGCCAGTACACTCTTAACAAAAGAACATTACAGTTTGCTGCATACCAAAAGTTAAAAAAGCACACAAACAATTTTACATTTCGAGTCCAGTTCTCAGTTTTGAAATCAGTTCTGAAGAAGAGTCACTGGGCTCAAAATGTTAACTCTGCCCTCTCCCTGCAGAAGCCACCAGACCTTTTGAGTTTTGCCAGGAATTCCTGTTTTCATTTCAGATCTCTAGCATCCACAGTTCTTTTAACTATTTAGAACAGTCTTACCACTAATATCAGAAATAAAGATTCAACCCTTTTATCCTCAGCAAAATCTTACAGGGTCACGCTGTCTCCACTTTAAAGATCTTTGTTAGTTCACATGGCTGTAACTGGTTTCTGTAGCTTTCTGACTTCAAACATCTTCAGAGAAAACACATTTTTCCAAACACTCAGTTTTCTGTTTCTAGATGTTTTCTGCTAAGTTACTCCCGGCATTTCGTAGCCTAGACCATTTTAGAGACTGAAATTGACAGCATCTTTGCTTCTGACTGAACCTAATGTATATTGCCTGACCTTCTGTATTTTTGTGATTCCAGACTCCTGTTGCTAGACAACAAGTCTTTTTTCACTTTGACCCTTTTCCTAATGCACTGGACTATTCACCTCATGCGTTTTAAAGACCTCATTTAGATGCTTGTAAACAAAACTTCAGGTAATTGAGCATCACTCAAAAATGAAGCTATAATTATGTCTTTTACTTCTTAACACTCCATGCAGAAATACAAATCAAACTTAAAGCTGAGCACAGTTGTATGCATTTCAGAACCAAAGTTTCCAAATGATAATAACAGGAATATATCATGTCCCTTCATCGCACACCACAGTTTCATAAACATGTCAAAGTCTTGGACAAAATGTAGATTTGTTGTTATCTGCGGAACTTCAGTGATGTGAAAGAACTGAAGAAACTTGAAATAAAAGCAGAATGTGCTGGAGAAATTCACCTGTCTGGTATCATCTGTAGAAGTTCAGATGATCTCCTTCAAGAAGGTCTGATTAAGAGATTTGATAATGGTGTTCAAATTTATTAATGGTGTTGAGAGACTAAATATGAGGAAATGGTTTCGAGTGACAGAAGTATGAACATTCAGGAGACATAGACTTAAACTGCAGGTGGAACTGGCCAGGTATACCTATGGATGCAGCGCATTTTAATATTCAGTAAGGTTCCATACAAGAGGTGTTTATACAAGATTAGGACTGATAGGATTGAGTGTGGCATAAAAACTGGGATTGAAGATTGATTCATGGACAGAAAAAAGGTGGGAATATGCAGTTACATTTCTGGATGAGAAAGTGTATCTGATAGAATATCACAGCGCTCAGAGCGTGAGCACTGGTTATTAACAATCTATATCAAGGTTCAGACAAGGGTCCAAGTGTAATGCTTCCTCGTTTGTTGATGATCCAAAGCTAAGTGGGAAAGTTAGCCGTGAGGACTACATAAAGGGATTACATAGGGACATTACCTACTTAAGTGACTGGGCATGAACGTAGCAGATGGAGCGTTATGTAAGGAAGTATGAAATTAGTAGCTTGGATCGGAAACATTGAAAAGCAAAAATGCTTTTACAAAGGTGAAAGCCTCATAAATATTGACATAAAGAACTCGGGAATTATTGTGCATGAATCACAAAACAGGAACATACAGATACAACTATAAATTGTCAAGGTAAATGTCTTTATTGCAAGAGATAAAATAAACAGGTAGGTTTATACTGCTGCTATTATATGGGGTCTGATAAGACTATACTTGGAGTACTGTGACAACAAGGTGCAGGGCTGGATGAACACAGCAGGCCAAGCAGCATCATAGGAGCAGA